ATAAGTATCTTATAATTCTACTTGAGCTTTCCTTACTTCCTGAGTTAGCATATCCAAGCTTACAGCACCTGGTATTTCCAAGCAGTTTACTCATGTAAGCTGATCAGGCTTGACATTGCTTAACTTCAGTTACCATACAGGAACTGGTGTTCAGCTTGAGGTATTGTCATCATATATATTTCTCTCTATTATATTTTCCATCAATAGAGTCTGAAGAAGTTTTACATGTTGTACATCATGTAAAATTTGAATATAAAGTGTTGTGTTAACAAAATCAGAGAAAGTATTATAAGGGATGTTTTTCACAATTTCCCTTTTCTCTCCACCTCCCTGCCCATCTATCCTTTTTTGTCTATCTACACAATCAAAACAGAATAGCCCATTATTTATGAAGAGACATGACTTGGTTACAGTGAGAAAATTAAAAGAAAGAAAGAGATAGAAGACTTGATAACAATCTCACGTGTTTAACATCTGTTTCAGTGAAATGGAAAAAAGTGTCTACGGATGTTTTATTGCCACAGACCTTGCCATAGGTTTATTCAATCCTCAACTTAAGAATTAACATTAATCAGAAAATTCAAAATGGAAAACTGTGAAATTTCTAGTGCATATATAACAATATTAAAATAAAAATGCAACTGATTTGTAGTTTAAATCTTGGGACATTTCTAATGAATCTCAAGCATGTTAAGAATTTCAAATTTAAAAGTTAGAAATTTGTGTTCCTTCTGAAAGTGTATATATTTATACGCTTTCAGAAAGAACAAACACCAATAAGAGAATTGGGTGTTTTTTTTTTGTTTTTTTTTAGAAGATCAACCTCTATGGGCAACTTAATGCCAAAATATAAATATTTTGTATGCAATATTATTTTATTTTTGGTGATAATTATTTAGTGATACAAATCTTACTAATTAGACCCTAGCTTGGGTGCAGGAGAAGTAGAGGTGGATTCATACCTTTTCCAAGGGTATTTGCATGTAAGTGAATATAACAAACCAGACTTGAATTGGAAGTTGTCTCTTTGATTAAAAATTCCAAGCCATTATACAACCAGCACATGCAATCCCCCATCTAGGTACTGATCAGGCTTGACGTTGCTTGATTGTATGGGAACTAGAGTTTCAACATAATGCAGCAGTAAGCTGTATAAATATAAGAGATCTGTTAATAATGGCCTATTTTTTTCATTTTGATGCAAAATTCTTGAAATGACTAACAAAATAAGTCACTTGAAGTTTTCTTGATTTATTGTATATTATAATGCTAGTTATCTACTGAGCAGTTTTTGACAGAAGTTCTGCTAGCCTGAAAAACATTTAATTCTGGTAATTTTAAGTTTATTTCACTCATTTTTTTATCATTATATATATTAGTGTACCTTTGCCATCAAAATTGATGGCAAGAAGGAATAAATTATAAGTAATATGTATTATATTGTCAGTAATTTTTGTTTAATCCAAGTATAACTTTGGAATTTAAAATAGTTTGTTGTTAACGTTAATAATTGAACAGTGTATAATTTATAAACACCTCAGGAAAGATATCTGTCTCTTATCCTCATTGTGTATATGTGTGTACACACAGCTTTCCTACACACTCTTTTGTGACACACGATGGGTGTTCTTGAGAGTCAAATTTGCAGGGAAATTAGAACATCATCGCTAGTGATAGTCAATCCCACAATCCAAGACAACAAGTAACTTTATGTGAAGCTTAATTCAAGCTGAAATAAAATATAAACCTTGGACAAGTTTTGTATGACATATCTCCTTTCTTTATCCCTATCCCCCCCTCTCTCTCTCTTTTTGCAGTTGTGTATCTGTTTCTTTTCATAGCTACTTTAACTTTGATTGTAGTTTGCAGAGAGAGGGAAAGAAGGGGGTTACTTTGTAGTTTGTTGGTGTGGCAGTTTTTGTGTGTGTGGACATAAATGAGGTGCTGGTTTCTGTGCATCTCGTGTCAAAATTTTGCACACTGCCCTTCAGTTGTTACACACACACACACACACACACACACAAAAAAAAAAAACTTATAGCATATTATATTTAAGGATATCATTAAATAATATATTACGTCTATTTTACAATTATCTGTTCTGGTTCTCTAATTATCTTCTTGATGTTAAGTTGAAATTCATCAAAGAATACACTGTAGTTCTTGTTAAACCCAAAAATTTTATCTTTTGATCTTCTCCACAATCATCCTAAAGGGTGAATTGTAAAGAAAAAACTTAATGTAATTATTGTAGTGGTGATTCTTATAAATGCAACGCTGTTATAATTATTTAAAAAAAAAAATAGGTGGGGTTACAATGTTTTGTAAACAAGCATTCCCAATGCAAGATAGGTAAGCAGAGATGGTAATCATGCTTGTAAACCTGCTTCTATCAATGAAACTTATGAGTCTGAAGAAGTTTTACATGATGTACATCATGCAAATTTTGAATATAAACTGATGTGTTAAGAAAATTGGAGAAAGAAGTATAAGGGAGAGTTTCATATAGCCTGTTGGAATTAATAAGGCAGCACACACATAATTCATCCCTGCAGGTACACAACGTAAGATTTCCATTCGATGACATGGGTCACACGAGGGAGAGAGGAACAAAGAAAATAGCCACACCTGATTCAATGCATTCCTTCATCAAACTGTAATACTGGTTAAAGTGCATCATGAGCAGAACTGACAGTTATATAATGTTGGTTTCATGACAACAGAAAAAAGGAACCATTGCATTTGGATGCAGTTGTCAACTCTCCCATGTTATACAGACTGTAACATCTTCAATATTCAAAATTCACTGAATTTTCTGGTCATGCTATATTTAGATTTGTTTTTTTTTTTTATCATGAAGCATAGCAAATTAATCAAAGAATAGCAACTCTGAGTTAAAAAAAAACCCAAAAAAACAAAACAAAGAATAGCAAAAAAACAAACAAACAAACAACAAAGAATAAAAAAAAAAAAACAAAAAAAAACAACAACAAAGAATAGCAAAAAAAACAAACAAAAAAACAACAAAGAATAGCAAAAAAAAACAAAGAATAGCGAAAAAAAAAACCCCAAAAAACAAAGAATAGCGAAAAAAAAAACAAACAAAAAACAAATAGCAACTCTGAGTTAATAAAAACAAAAACAAACAAAAAAAAACAAACGAAAAAAACAAAAAACAATAGCGAAAAAAAAAAAAAAAAAAAAGCAAAGAATAGCAAAAAAACCCAAAAAACAAAGAATAGCAAATAAAAAAAACAAATAATAGCAACTCTGAGTTAATAAAAAAACATAAAAAACAAAAACATGAAAAAAACAAAAACATAAAAAAAACCCCCAAAACATAACAAAAAAAACAAAAACAAAAAAAAGGCAATCCCATATTTTTGACAACTACAAACTGGAAAAATTGTAAATATATTTCGCCTGACACTGAATGACTGATAAAAAAATAAGACATCACTAAAATTATTATTTTTTCTCTCATAACAATGAGTAGTCCGAACACAAAGGATATAAATTTATAATTCATAATAAATATTTCATCATTAGCATGTAAATAGAAAAAAAAAAGAAAAAAGTTTATAGCAGAAGAGCATTTTCAGCGAGCTGTAAGAATAGTGAATGATATGCTTGATCCCACTTGTGGAACCATTCATCATTTTTGTTGGGTACACATGAAATGTCAACAGAAAATGTTATTTATGGAAGATAGACTATTTATGTATTGAGGATTGGTCAGAACATGGTGAGAGTATTGTAGTAAAGTTTATAAGACTGAGGTAAAATAAGTAAAGGTCAACGGCCCAGGCAAAAACAAACAAAATTCTTGTAGCGGAAGACATTAATTTCTTCATTATTTGAATCTTGCAAAAATCAATTCAGTCATCTTATCCAAGGATTTTGGAATAATCAAAGATACCTTCTCCAAAAACTAAGCAATGTATTAAGAAACAAGAAAGTTTCATTAAGAACAGTACTGAACTGTGTTATATAATATCAGTCCTTCTGTATTGTAGTGAATGCTGGACAATCTCCTCACAAATGAAGAAGAGAAATTGAAGAAACAGAAATTTGGTTCTACAGAAGGATGCTGAAAATACTTTAAAGGAGTGCCCTTTGCTGTGCTGATGTTGCTACATGCCTTACTTCTTGCCTATCTCATACTGCGAATTTTGTCTAAGCTCTATACTAAACATTAAATCTGTTACGAAAAAAGAACTAAACAAAATAAACACAAAACGACCAGCTTTAAAAAAGGACTCGTAACTGAAAGAACCAAATGAAAAAAAGAATGTTAACAACAAATACTTTTTCACACCCAACCCAGTTCTGCGGAATCAGAATCAATGTTGAGTTTAAGCAAGCGAATAAGTCAATTGGAGTAAAGTGCCATGCAGATTTAAATTTTTCCCCCACTTGTGACGAATGCAGCTATCAACTTTTTTTGCATGCTAGTTAGCATTCATGTCAGTCAGCTGTTGGCTCTCACGCTGGCCAATAGAATCTTCCTGCCTATTTGTGGCAGCCAGCTATAGGCTCTCACTCTGGCCAGTACAAAATGGCCACAAACTACATGAAAACTGCCGTAGAAGCATGAAAAAAAAATCGATTATTTCCACTATCGATGGGAGTTGGGAAATGCAAAGTTGGTTTTGGCCTAACCGCTAACTTGGAGCATGTGCATGTAAATTTTGGTGCAAATCCATCGAAAATTGCAGCCGTGTATTTGTTACACACACACACACACACATCCTGCCTTTTATTTATATATTATATATATATATATATATATATATATATATATATCTGAAGAGTTTGATGCAATAAAAAAGTTCATATATTTTAGGCGAGCAATTACCAAATGGAAGGCACTTCAAATTTATGAAAAGGAATTGAATGAAAACATAATCACCAGGAGGAACTCCAAACTGAGAAAGAATGTATATACTCTGTGTATATTCTTTTGAATTTGAAATCTTTTTCTGACAAAAAAAGGATACAGTTCATCTTCATCCAGTTCAATGTCCATATCTTCTGCAGCCTTTTTATACCAGTCGTTATGCCGTTTCTTTTTCTGGAATCTGTGAAGAGAAAAAGAAAAACATTTAAATAATCTCCTTCTACTATTTGCTTATCCAAAATATTCACTAACTTAAGGTCTTGCAGAATTGCCCTTCAGATAAATTTGCTTGAATGGCTTCATGTGCAACATTGTTGAATTTGTCATTAATATACTAATTGGATCAATTTATTCTATTTTTCTATTTTTTCCTACTCTTTTCTTACAAGTTATATGCCTGCTAAAGGCCTGATTGGCTGAAATGTTTTTTTTTCTGATAACAATATAAAAATATGAAAAGGTTTGTCTGATCAAAATGGCAGTTGCTACATCATTGTCAAGTGCAACTCTTTCAAAACTCAAATATGACTTACGATATCAAGCAATGTCTGCATATGAAATTTTTAAAATAAAGAAATCCCACTCTCTCAGCAAAAACAGCATGTACCCCAAAAAATGAACCAGTCAACATCATGAAATGTTCTCAAGCTGCAGTTTTCTTTCTCTCAGTTGACAAAGGCTTAGGGGTTCAGCACTTCCAGTGAGCTTACACACACACCTGGACATCAACCCAGGCATTTCTATATCCCTGGATTATTGGTAGATGGCCATTGATTCCATGGGTGGATTTTTATCCACCTTTTTTCTCCTGATGGGTGTCAAGCCACCTTCTTTATCAGAAAAGTCTGGTGGCAGAACTGGTTTAGTTGCTGATAGCCCCACCATGTGGCAGCCAGTATAGAGTTCCCAAAATATTCTATATAATAAAAAGCTTATTTTAGGTGATGCAAATCATGACTACGATAATATTACTATGCTTTATCTAATCGTTAAATGGCAGGCATCCTCAATACACATTTCAATGGAGATCATTAATTGCAGATTGAAACCTTCCCCAATGTCACAGGCATGATATCATTCTAAATAACTAAGTGGCAACTCTAGCTTTATTTTTCTTTTAATACTAATGTTTATCCAATATAAGGCCCAAGAGCCACTGAAGGTAGAGGGTTACTGTGTGGTGCTAGATGAGTTTAAGTAAAGGCAAGAGGTGCAGTTCATGGAGCTATGCAGGAAAGATAACAGCTAAGAGGCCAAGATTGTAGTGATTGGGAAAACATCCTGCTGGGAGTCTGTTCCACAAAGTAACAGTTCTTGGGAAGAAGTTGTCCATATGGAACTTATTTCTTACTATTGGAATATGAGGGAGATGGGGATGATTCTTGTGTATGTGGCATGGCGGGTGTGTGTGTGTGAGAATTGAAAAAATATGGATGAAATCTGACAGAATGATTAAATAAGGACATTTGATACAGATTTTGTACTCAATGTTCTTCAGAGAAGTCAGGCACAGATAATTATTTTTTACTGATGATCCTGAAATAGACATTTTATAAGTAAAAATGTGAACAATAGTGCTTTCAGAGTTAAAATTCAGACCAGCAGAAAATTAAAACGTGCTTTGGCAAATTCAAATTTGGCTTCAAGAGGGCACGAACCCTAGACCAGAATTTGGAAGAAGGAAATGAGAAGTTATGTTGATGGTTGATAATGTAAGATGAATATATTTTCAAGTGTAGATATTGACCAGAAAGTCCGATATCAGTACAAAATAACTTTCAACCATAACGGGGTTGATGTGCTGATAAGTGGCCCTTGGATACGATTTTTTTTTTTTTTTTTATGAACTCCATCTTGGTGGTCACAGTGTCTGTTTAAAAAGGGGCGAATACAAGTTACTTTTTGTGTTTTCCTGCTACTTGCACCTGTCAAACACAAGTTCTATCTAACATCAATCTCTTCATATCTATCTTTTTATACTAATATTCACCTAATACAAGATAGAAGAGCAACTCAAGGTAGAGAGTTACTGTGTCATGTTGTATGAGCTTACGGCAAGGAGTGAAGTTCATGGGGCTATGATGGAAAGATGATGGTTAAGAGGTCAAGATTCTCATAATAGAAAAGAGAGGAAAAAAAAAAGAGCGACAAGAAGACAGAGGAGACAAGCGAGTGACAAGAAGACAGAGGAGACAAGCGAGCGACAAGAAGACAGAGGAGACAAGCATGAGTAAAGAAAACAGAGAAAAATGAAAAAAAGAAAAATGATAAAAAGGAGAGAAAAAGAGAGAAGGGATAAAAAAAGAAAAAAAGGTAAATAGAAAAGCTTTCAAGCTATAATGAAATGGCTAAGTTAAATAAATTTTTAGCATTCTATTCACCAGACATCTTCCAAAAATTAACAAATAAAGGCATTCTATATCAGCTGTGTGTGTGTATACAATCTTAAGATAGTGTAAAACTTCTGTATATACAAGATGGCATTTGTTATTTTAGAAAGTATGTAGACACACCCCAAAGAAAGAGAAAACTGTTTTTATTTTTAAACCAGTTTGAAAGTAAAAACTGAATATGACTCAACAAACTAAGCCCCAACCACCATCATTAATTCAGAGAAAAAGTTGATATTCATGTGGTGGCATCTTTTCAACTTTTATCTCTGACCCATCATGAAATCAGAAAATAAAGAGATTACCTGACTCCACCCTTTATTCATCTTCTGTTCATTGACCTAACCAAGGAAATGCACTTAAGCACACAAATAGAATTAAAAAAAAATTTTAAAGTTTTATATGCATGAAATACATACACATAGAAAGGAGACAAATATAAATTTTCAGTAAATTATCCATTCTTCCCTATTATTCTGAGATTGAAAACAAAACTGGTAATTTTCTTCTGGGAAATAACTGACTGGTAGTAAATTCCAAGAAAGTTGTTTTAAATTAGGTCTTGTAAAATTCCCCATGTATGTTTGGTTTTATGGCATATCAACCTCAGTGGGTTATTTAATGCTGATAAGATTTTTACAATAGATTTGTATGAATAGAATATATATTCGTAGTAAGGAAACTGTAGATCTAGTTTCATTGATATTGAGGGTTGCTGTTGAGGGTCGGGTATTCTTTTTAGATACACAATTTGTAGAGAAATTGATTTTGACATTCTCATTTGGTACATCTACTTTCACTTTCTCGAACAGTTCATACATACTGTTTATATTATAATATTTTTGTCTTGAGAGACAAGATCTCAGCACTTGATTAATATGTGTTTAATAGTATATGCTGTTTTACAACCAGTATACTGGTTGATTTTCTTTGTTTAGTAAGTATGAGAAGGTTAGTCTTGTATGGCCAATGCGAACGTGATCCAGTATCAATTCTTCCTTACAAAATTTTCTGAGAGCCGACTTCCATTCTCTTAGTTACTTTTCAATCAAGAAAGGAGAAAGTTTGCCAGCAGAGTTTCTTCTTATACGTCATGAGATTTTTCGGCATTACAAGAGGATTGATATTGCATAACAATTAACTACACTTTTCATTGTTTCTAACAAAATTTTTCTGTTTCTTAATACTTTGTTTAGCTTTTGTAAGGCATCTTTTACTATCCCAATGTGCCTTTGAATTTCAGATATTTAAAAGAACAATTGCTACCTAAATGAACCAAATTATTAAATATCAGATATAGAACACTTCACTCAGACCTATCCCTTATGATTAGTGTATTTCACTTCTTTGCCAAGATGGTGATTTTTTAAGTGTGGTTTAGATGTGGCACAAGGCCAGAAATAAGGGACACTCAGTGAGGATCGAACTTACTATGCATTTGTAACTGACCTGACAACATAAGCTTGCTAACCATTACAGGCTGGAGTACCCTTATACAAAGTTTAGTTTAATTGTGGCACAAGGTCAAAAATATAGGCATCCAGTGAGGATCAAACTCACTTCTTTGAAATGCTATGAAAACAGATAGGTGGCCCTGGATATAAAAGTGCTACATCTAATCCAATCTTTTAAAAAGAACAAAATGAATACAATGAAGGGTGATATCATCCTCCAGCAGAGACAAAAATACCTCCACAAAGACGCTTCTAATTACATTACGGCTGCATTAATAAAGCCTAACAAATTCTCTCCTTGTTTTTAGCCCCTTTACCATTTAAGCGCTAGTTTATATCTTAATAGTGAAACACAAACACAAGTCTACATGTGTTTGTAGGGTCAAGTGAAAACATAAATATTATTACTTTATTATTTAAACATTAAAATAAATTATATAAAAAAAAAAAAAAAAAAGGGGCACAATTTTCCTAAAAAACCCAAAAAACTAGAAGGCTCAAAAATTAACAAATCTATACCTTTTCAACTTCAAAATGGACTTATTTTCAGGTAAAAAAATTAATCAACTTCAAAATGGATCAATCAGCTTCAAATTGGAAAACTTCAAAATGAGAAATAATCAACTTCAAATTGAGAATTAATATAATACTAATAAATTTAATATTTATTCTTTTATTTTTACTTAAAAGGTATATAAAAAAAACATAAAAATTATTTAAAAGATTACATCATCTAAGTTAATTACAGAGGGAAGTAATCTCTGTATTCCAGATACGAAGTTAGTGCAAGTCTCAGGGAAAATATTATTAATTGCCTCGGAGATCATCGCTTCTAACTTACTGAGGCGGAATTTTATAAGGAGTTTTGTTCGTCTTTCATTCAACTGTGCCTTACACATAATCAAGGGGGTTGCAGTCTGGAGAGTTAGGTGACCAAATGTAAGGGGTGATGTTGTTACAGAAATTGTCTGATAGCCATCATTGGCTTCTCCTGTTTGTGTGGCATGGTGCAGAGTGTGGTTGCCAGATATAGGGTCTTCCAGCAGCCACCCTCTTGATCCAGAGTGGTTGAGTCTGAGGCCCTCACCAACAATTTCGGAAGTCTTTTCTTATCAGAACAGTTAGAGTGAGTTTTCTGAGCTGCCATGCCTTCGTAATCATCATTAGACTCATCCGACTCTTTCCAAATCCTCTGCACTGTCTACTCAAATACGGATATCCACTAAAAATAATGTTTAAGTAATAAAATATGTCAGATTGATTGTCACTTTTTTAGAAATATATAAGTGAAATATCAATTTGAATATTGCCCATTGCAGATTAAATTTCCAAATTCTGTTATTAAGATAATTGATAAGATTGATCGATATATTTTTTATGGCTTATAAACCATTTGCAGGTTATTTAAAGCCAGGAAAGATTTTTGGATTTGTAGGAATTTTTTGGAGATAATAATGATAATTTAGTGACACAAGTCCTACTAATTAACCTATAAGCTGGGGTGAGAAGAGGTGGAGTCATACCTTTCCCCAAATTTGCGTTAGTGAACCTGACTGGAATTGGAACTCAGTTCTGTGATTTCCAGTTCAGAGCTCTTATCCATTATGCCACCCACATATCCAAGCTTATAGCATGTGATATTCCCAAGTAGTCACCCATCTAGATACTGACCAAACTCAATGTCGCTTAACTTCAGTGAGTGTAAGAGAACTGATGTATCCATAAGCTAACAATTATAAGAGTAAATTTTGTAACTTATGAATTACTGGGTTGGTCTTTTTTAAATTTTGCAATTGAGTACTACAAGTTTACAGAACAAGGATTCTATTATTGGGCTGGAATAAAAGTAGGTAGCATTTTTCAATAAGTGGAACTTGAACACATAATTTTGTTTCATATATGACTGAAATTTATCACATACACAAAGATGATATTTCTGGGCATTTTTATATATGATTTGTATGTGGATTGGGAATTTTTGATGTTTTTATGTCAAAAGTGAAAACAGAGGTATGTTTTGGTCATTTTAGTCAGAAAGGAAAAACTGTCCAGACAGGTGTGTGTGTGTGTGTGTGTGTGTGTGCGAGTGAGAGAGAAAAAAAAAAAAACAGAGAGGAAAAATATGTGCTATTTATGGACATGGTGCCATAGCTGAGAGTACTGTTTATAAGTTGCTTGTTAGATTCAGAAACAAAAATTTTGATCTGGAAGAGTGAGTACGTTTTGGCAGGTTTGCAGATGTTCATTCCAGACTAAATGTCTTCGTATTTGTTGTTATTATTACAATGTTTTGGCTGTCGTGCTCTGTCCTTTTTCAGCAAAGATTTTTTCCTATTTCTCAGATTTGGTTAGCTACAATATTTTCTTAAAATCCTTTTATCTCAAGCATGGCCATAAAGCCACAAAGAAGATGAGAAAATAAAAAAAAAACAAAAACACTTAAGGAGAGTGAACAATTAAAAGAACAGAAATTAAGAAGACAGAAGATAACGATTGACATTGCATTTAAATTTTTGAAGATCAAAGTTGACTGGAAAATAAGATGCCAGAAGAGAATTCCACAAGCAAAAATGTGATAGACGAAACTGTTAGCATAAAACTTAGCCATTTAAATTGTAAACTGACAGACCTTGCTACCAATCTAGTACTATGCTTAAATTTGTGAAGTCGGAGTACCAAAAGGAAAGTTTATTAGAAAAGTTAGCATGAACATATTTATAGAAAAAGCACTGGGAAAGAGACTGAAGCTGAGATGCCAGCTTAGGACCAATAACATTGCAGAATCTTTGGATTTTATTAAGAATCTCTAAATATATAGCAGGAGCATCAGACAAGATGTGGCAGCAGTATTCAAAGCAAAGATGAATGACAGATTTATAAATATGTAAGATAGATTCAGGAGAAAAATTGTCTTGCACAACACAGGGAACCAATTTTTCTCACAAGTGATTCGATATAGCCTTTCCACTTAATGTCAGCAGAAAATGTTAGTCAGAAAAGAATTGCATATATTAATATCATATTTGTGCAATCATATAAACACTAGCATGCATTAGTTTGTATCAAACATTTTACAAAACAACACTGGATATGCAATAAACAGGGAAAGGCAAAAGAAAAAAATATCAGCATTATCGAGATACCTTTCTTCTTAATTTAACCTCAGTTGAGATTATTGTGTAGCTCCAACCCAGTTATAGCAGCAGTACTCCATTTTTGCTCTAATTTGAATCATGTAAATATGAAGCATGGAAGAACGAACCAGGTACATCCTGGAGTGAGAGGATTAGTCAAGCATGGAAGAACGAACCAGGTACATCCTGGAGTGAGAGGATTAGTCAAGCATGGAAGAACGAACCAGGTACATCCTGGAGTGAGAGGATTAGTCAAGCATGGAAGAACGAACCAGGTACATCCTGGAGTGAGAGGATTAGTCAAGCATGGAAGAACGAACCAGGTACATCCTGGAGTGAGAGGATTAGTCAAGCATGGAAGAACGAACCAGGTACATCCTGGAGTGAGAGGATTAGTCAAGCATGGAAGAACGAACCAGGTACATCCTGGGTGAGAGGATTAGTGGAAGAAAACCATTTTCCTGGAGTGAGAGGATTAGTCAAGCATTTTCCCTGTCTCTAGCAATGATGTCAATTATTATATTTGCCTAATATTAAAAAAGAAATTGGATAAATATCTTACCTGTGGTTTTCTGTGTCGAGTTGCTTTGCCAACTGGACACGTTCTTTTAGACATGGCAAATAATTCAAGTCGATTGGAAATGAGACCATATCTTCAGCTGAGAATGGTAGAAAACAAAAAAAAAATACATTACAAAAGCCAAACTATGTCAACCGGTAATTGTAATATTAATTCTAGCTGAGCAAGAAAACAATTTACAATTGGACCAACATTAAATCAATCCGAATGAGTAAATAAAAAAATTAAAAAAATAAAACTAATATCTTCATCTTTGTTGTTATTATAAATTCAGAAAGAAGCTGGAGATGATTCAAACAAACATTTTATTCTCTTCTCGGACAATGACAACAGAGATATATTTAATCAATTCATCCTAAACAAGGCGATAATGCCACTAATACAAAACAGGCTACTGGGAGCGTAAAAGAGAATGAGAAGTCTTTAAAAGGAACTGAAAACTCAATACTAAACAGGAAACAAGGGATAATCTACTCCTGTTCAAAATTTGTCTGATGGATCAAGGAAATCTAACTTTTCCCAGTCCAGGAATTATAAAGACATTTTAGGTTTTTAATACTAGAATTTTTATTTTTACAGTAACATTCACATTGTACAAGGCCCAAGAGCCCCTCAATGTAGATTACAGAGTAAGAGGCACAGTTTATGAGGATATGTGGGAAGATACCAGTTAACCTTAGACTTGAATAGTTTAAGAGTGTAGTAATTGGTGCAACATCCTTTTGGAAGTCGATTCCACAAAAACTCAAAAGTCACTCAAAGTAGAAGCTTACGGTTAAAATGGTTATGATGAATGAGGTGTGTGATATGATTGAAAGAAGAGTTGATAGAAAGCGAGGTTAAAAAGGATAGATAATGACTAATCCTTGATTCGAAGAGATTAATATTATCATGATCAGGGAAACACCAGCATGGTAGCCTATTCCACTAAATGGCAGTTCTTGTTGGGTGGGGAATGTTGTATAACTTTTACATGATGAATTATTAAATTGGCCAAAATATTTGTTTTGTTATTTCTATTTAGAAAACAGGTTGATTGGTTGGTTGATTTTACAACATATCAACTCTTGTTGGGTTATTTAATGTTGAATTTTGTATCAGGCACCTAGTGAGGATCAAACTCACTTAGTGGTAATGGTCAACGATACTAGCATTGCTAATCATTATTCCATTCCTCTGCTTGGTTGAGTGATTTTAGGACAGGTTAACTCTTCTTGAGTTATTTAATGCTGAAATTTGTATGTGGTACCTAGTGAGGATCAAACTTACTAATTAGTAGTAATTGTCAGACTAGACTTGTTAACCATTACCCAATGGCATTATATTGTTACAGCAGTCAGATCAAGGTATATTTTAAGGTGGGTAGACATTTGCGTTTCGGACAATTGTGTACCAGATAATTTTTTGAAGTTACAGTTTTTTTTTTTAAAGAGTTGTTTAATATAGAAATTTGCACACAATTTGGGTTCAAATGGAACTTATTATTGGAATACAAAGGGAATGGGGATGATTCACCCTTGTGTACATGACAATGTGGGTACCAGTTGTAAAGTTTAGGGGTGGTGTGGTAAGGAATATAGTTCGTCAGAACACATGCCATGGAAATAGCGATAGAGCAGCGAGTGCCTTGTGATGTCTCATCTATGGGAAAGTGGTCATAGGGTGGAAAATAATTCATCACCCACAAAGTGCATAGACACTTCTGAACTCTATCAAGACAGGCAGGTGAGGACTGGGCAGCTCCAGACAAGATATGGCAGCAATATTCCATTTTCTGTCTGATCTGGCTCTTGTAAAGATAGCAGAGGGACTTACTGGAGTGGAACAATGAACCAACCATTTTCCCAGCATCTTTAGCAATAGATTGGATAGACAAGTTCCACTTGAGGTCTGGGAAGAACTTGAGTCTCAGTAGACATTCAAGGTACAGAGCTTCCTTGAGAGGACACATCCATCATGATGGGTGAAGGTTTGGGGTCTGCTCAGTAGTGGTGGAACATTACTAGTTTAGTCTCTTGAATGTACTTAATGCAGGGCCCACAGCATTTGTTTTGAAAGAACATAGAAACTTGATTGGTAAGAAAGTGTAAAATGTAATTTATTATGCAGAATATGAAAGACTTACTTCTTTCTAAGCTGTACAAAATCTTCCTATAGTCTTTTTGCTCTTCAGCACAAACAAGCAATACAGCAAGACCTGACTGAGATGCACGAGCTGTCCGGCCACTTCTGTGGATATAATTCTGTAAAAAATTGATATCAGGAATTAAGACACTGAGAAAAAATCTGGAATAATTCTTGCACACTTCGTTGAAAAACAAACCTGAATAATAAGGGACAAAGAGGAATAATTAAAAATAAAATCCTTTCAGGTTGTAACAATATCACAACGACAATGCATCTAATATCTATATGACACCAACATCTTGGTACAAGGATATTTTTGTATGAGAGAGATCTTGTCAACCATCTCTGGACAATCATTTGTTTCACTGCTTTAAAAACATTATTGGTTCCCTACAAGACTGGATCAGGATACTCACATAGAAGTAGACAGTAAATGATTTTATCCAAGTGAATTGTCTTGTCTTTTTTTATTAAAGCAATAATTTCTATGAAGTAGGATCTTCAAAGTGGCCACTCACTTTTGACCAAAAGGGAATGAATAGATAATAAAATGAAACTTTCAGGAACATGTGCCATCCTACCAGAAGAGGAAGAAAGTTCAGGCATCAGGCTTATATTAGCAGAGTCACACAGAATGGACAGAGAGAAGATGGCGGAAGAGAGTATCCACTAGTTGAAAGAAGGAACTTTTCTACTTAACAAGTGTCACTTGCCTGCCTACCCACCAACTCCCAATCGTTCAAGTGAATCTCTGAATAAAGGACTAAATACATTGGATAAAGTACGTATGTTTTATGCTTATTATTTCACCTTGCATTACCCTTCTCCAGTTTTTGTGCACATCGACGCAAATGAGAACAGCGATACAATGTGGGGTCATTTGTTTGTAGGTTTTTATTGATTATCATATAGAAACGGCCTTGAATTACCAAATTATCTGATTAAACTAAAGCTAACTAAATGGATAAAAAGTCTGGACAGATAAAATTATATAAGCTGTTTTTATTCCTTTAAAGGAGGTTCTTTTTAAATTTTATTTTGTAGCCCTGTGTTACGCATTAGAAATTACTGTTATTCTTGTCTTCTATTCAAACCCCGTGCTACTTGTCAGAAATTAATCCATGTACCCTCATCTACAGATTATCTTTCCTTTCTGTACTGTAACAATATCCTTTGTTAGTAATAAAATATGAAAATAAATATATTAAAAATGTGGCAAAATCAATTTTATTTTATTCTTTTCTTAAAGCAGATTAATACCAATAGATAATTATAACATTTTTGAAAGAAAAAAAAAAATGTTTATATAACTTACCTCCATTGTACGAGGTACTTGAAAATGGATGACATGTTCAACATGAGGGATGTCCAACCCTCGAGCAGCCACATCAGTGGCTAATAGTAAACCTTTTGGATTAGCTACAATTAAAACCAATGCATATTATTAAATATACACCAATCACACGTATGTAAGTCCATAGTCTAAAAATGAAAAGATATTTTATACAATGGATATTCTTCAAAATAATCATCTTTGTCAATGCACTTAATTCAGTAGTAAGTATATACTGCACAGATTGAACATTATACAGTGAACATTTCAGATAGAGAAAGAAAAAAAAAAGCTAATAATTACATCAGTCTGTGAACTTATTAATCCACATCTGTAAATTTATCATTAATTTTTGCATAAATTCCAAACAGTAAAAAATATGAGAGATTGCTTGCTACAGAGATAAACAAACACAGAATCTATTACTGCTAATATTTATTTTAAACTTTATACAGGATACTGGATAATAATCCTAAAAAAAGAAAAGAAGAGAAGAAAAAAAAAAAAAAAGAAAAGTCCTTTGAAAAGCTTACAGCTTATTCATTTATTTTTTCTTATTGTGCTGGAATAAAGGTTTGGATTATTTTTCAATAGGTAGTATCTGAATATGAGGATGGAATAATGAAGTTGCCTCAATGATGAGAAATGATAGTGGGATAAAATGGCACATATGTGGTTGAATAAATCTATGTACAAATATCTAAATATTATCTTTGAAATTTACAAAAAAAAATTAAAAAAAAAACAAAACAAACACCCACACCATAGACTTTTGTTCCAACCTAATATTTTTTCTTTTTAAGACAGACCAATGTCTGGAATTATATTTTGATTAAAATGTACAAATAAATGAAATGCAAGTTCTACAGTAAAAATATTTTACAAAGAAAAAGCCAAAAGAATTATTTTTACCTGAGAACCTTTCCAGGTTTTTAAGACGCTGCTTCTGATGCATGTCAGCATGAAGCGACAATGGCTGGCATTGCAATAAAGTAAAAATGGAGACCAAACGACGTACACAGTCCTTACTATTACAGAACACCAGTGTCCGTCCAGGGTAACGACTAAGGAAATAGTACAAGTATAAATCCTGATAAAGAAAAAAAAAAGAAAACAGTGGAAATGCTTGAATTATTTGCACAGGCCAGTTTTTTTTGTTTGTGGGAAGGGATTCTTTACTCAACTTTGACATTAATCAACTATACAGCCACTCCTTAATGATCAGATTTTGTTTACTGATTACTGAGCTGATTACTAATTTAGAAATTGTAAATGGCTGATTTTTCAAGCATACTACTTTCAGAGACACTAATGAAAATGACAAGATTTAAGTGAAATTTGCAAGGAAACACACATTCATTCAAATAGCAAAAAAATATGTTTTACAATATACAAATAGTACAAAATACAATATAGGCCTTGTACAAAATTTCTCTCGAGTGCCTGAAACTATCACGGCGGATTAACATTTCTCCGAAATACAAATCTGTTTAGTTTTTTTCTTTTTAAAGACTTTCTTTCAGAGCAACAGTTCATATAAATAAATTTCTTGGCAACAAAGAAAATTTACTTTGAAAAAGTTTGCAATTCAAAAGATTGAAGGCCGTGAAAAAGGATGACCTATTTCAGGATCCTTTAGACAAAATATTCAGGGTTTTGGAACAGGTGTTCTCAAATATGAGATAAACTCTAATGAGTTTAGAAATGACACTTATGTCAAATTTAGAAGATTTTTCTCCTTCTACAGCAAAAGCAGTTATAGTAGTCTTTTTCATCCCAGAAAGCAGGCCTTTATATATGCCAGAGACGGTCAATGCTTTTTTTCTGACATTTCAGTCAAAATTTCCCTTTTTATATAGCAAACGGGTAGCTCTAACCAAGGCATATACTTTTTATCCCCATTAGGGATCTGGGAATCACTATCCAATCAAAGTACACCAGTTAGCAATTTTAAATTTGATCCACATTTTGTAAATCCTTTCCACAGAATGTTTAAACCATCTGGATTCATTTTTAGAAGACACCATGTTAGTAACATATTACTTTTTGTAATTTTCTTGTACAATTAAATATCTTTTTTTATTAAAATAGATTCTATATTAATTTTGACACAATTCCAACATTTTAATTATTTTTCTCTCATACAATAAGTTTTTATTAAAAATAATGACTGCGTGAATAATATCAACAAAAATGGTAAAAGGCTGGCTCACCTTTTGGTCATGTTCGCAATAAATTTTAGCTTCTGACAAATTTTCGGCTGTTCGTGTCTTCTCAGTGAGGTCAATTTTCTTGGCATTTTTCTTGATTCCCATTTTACTAACCAACATATCTATATGCAGCAAGAAAATAAAAAGCAAACTGTTATTATCATAACCAAACACTTACTGGTTTCCTTGCCTGTGTAAAAGGTTGTTAATGAGATTTTTAGAGGAGATATAGGCATTTAATACATGGCAAATTTTTTTTTAACAAAAACAAAAAACAAAAGAGAAAAAAAAACCCACAAAAAACAAAAGAGAAAAAAACCACAAAAAAACCACAAAAAACACAAAGAAAAAAAGACACAAAAGAAGGAAAAAAGAAAAGAAAAAAAACACAAAAAAGAAAAGAAAAAACCACAAAAAAAAGAAAAGAAAAAACCACAAAGAAAAGAAAAAACCACAAAAAAAAGAAAAGAAAAAACCACAAAGAAAAGAAAAAACCACAAAAAAAAAAAAAGAAAAACAAAAAAAAAAAAGAAAAAACCACAAAGAAAAGAAAAAACCAAAAAGAAAAGAAAAAACCACAAAAAAAGAAAAGAAAAAAACCACAAAAAAAAGAAAAGAAAAAAAAAAAAAAAAAAAAAAAAAACCACAAAAAAAGAAAAAAAAAGAAAAAAAAACAAAAAAAAAAAAAAAAAAGAAAAAAACAAACACAAAAAAAGAAAAGAAAAAAACAAACACAAAAAAAGAAAAGAAAAAAACAAACACAAAAAAGAAAAGAAAAAAACAAACAAAAAAAAAAGAAAAAAAAAAAAAAAAAAAAAAAAAAAAAAAAAAAAAAAAAGAAAAGAAAAAAAAAAAGAAAAGAAAAAAAAACACAAAAACAATCAAGAGACACTAAATTATTTAGTGGCAATCAGTAATTTGGTTCAATCACTAATCCAGCACTAATTTCTACGATACTAATTTGAAATTTCCTGGTCACTTCATAGACCTGCCAATATTAATGGTTGGCATTTGCTGCTTCATTGTTTGCTTTTAAGCACTTTCAAACACTGGTAAAGAATTTCTTTATTTGTCTTTTTGTGCATTTTTATTATAACTTAGCAACATTTAGTCCCAGTACCAATGAATACAGGAAATGCTTTTCATGGTGCAAAGGGCAAACACCATATGTCATCCATAACAGGTAATGCAGAACTTCTGACCCATGTTTGATTTTCACTATGGTCAATTTCATTCCCTCGAGAAGAGAGAGTGGAAATGGTATAGAGCCACTATTCACCCCGGGCAGTGTCAGGAGAATTCATGAATAAAGAAGTCAAGATATTGAGAACAGGATTCATGTTAATATTTCTGTTCTTTTGAACACACACCTGTGATCAAGTGACACTTGGCTGAAAGGTAGAAAATACCAGTTGTAGGCTTATATAGTCAGGTTACATTTTAGCACGAGGGAGAGACAAGCCATCTGTTGTGATGTGCAGAGGGAGAAATTTGGCAGTCAGAGGAGAGTCAATTGATTTGTTTTTTTTTAATGACTTATCAACCCTTTGTGGGTTATTTAAAGCTGAAACACTTTTGGATTGTAAGATTTTTTTTTTTTTTTTTACAAGTGAATATTGCATTAATATTTTTTTTTGAGAATAATGATTTGTTCCAGATACAACACCTACTGTTTAATGCATAGCTGGAGAGGGGAGAGATGGAGTCATACCTTTCCCAAGGGTATTTGCACATAAGTGAATGCAACAAACCAGACTAGAATTTGTGGAGATGTAGAGTCACAGGTAGTCAGAGTGACAAGAGATAGTTGGTAAAAGAGAGGATTCTCATTGGCTGAAGGGTAGATCTGGTCTTTTATTCCGTTGTGAGAAGACAGAATTAGCTGTGAAGATGCCCCAAGTGTCATCTACTGACCCAAAGACAGCACCAGGTGAATTCATGAATAATGAACCCAGTATATTGAAAACAGTATTTGTGTTTTGCCATGGCAATACTTCACATTCTGTTGCTTTGTTAAACATACACCAGGCCTTTCGCAGTTATTGTTAAATCATATTGTGGAATAGAAAAACTGACCCAAATGACCCTGCATATGATTAGGCCCTGCAAGAAATGTATTTGACAAAAACATCTCATTAAGTCAATTAAATTCTTTTTTTTTTTTTTTAAATCTTAGCTTTTCTACTTAGTAACTCATTGATAATCAAAAGCACTGTACACTCACTTGAAAAATGACAACTGAACTAGGCATCCCAAAGTAAAATTTTCAAATGAAACCAAATTTATCTTGGTTGCTCAATTTGCAACCAACTTATGGCCATTGGTAAGAAGATTTTAATTCTCCTGTACTATTGAACCAGAAGCCAATTCTATCAGTGTATAACTGAAAGATACTGGCTTCAGACCAGGCAAAAATCATTATAAATGTAATGTCATATAGGTAGTCTTGAAGTAAAATAAACATAATACTAATGGAATCCATAATTATTAGATCAGATCAGACTAAACATTTGTGTAAAATTGTATCCTCAAAATGAAATAGTTAAAAAATAACAGAACAGCCATTTTCACTGATGACAGAAGTTTCATTTCAACAGTTAATGCCTTGTAACTTCTTGCTATGGCTCCTAGCACAACAGAGATGAAGTAATTTTTTTTCAGCAAGACATCAACTCATAGTAACACCATGTAAAAAAAAAAAAAAAGCCAATAGTGCACTGAGAGTAGGACAAAACAAGTATACCATCCTGAACTTTCCATAAAAAGTATCCATTGGCACTACATGCCTGAAACATTGTAACTAATACAATATACAATACTAATTTTGGGTTGAGGAATTCAACAAAACAGCTCTTATCTGTAATATGAATACCTTTTGTCATACATGTATCTAGTTTTGAAAAGGTGAAATTATGCAATTTTTGGCTCATCAAAAAAGGACACTAATGCCTTATAAATTTGTTTCATGAAATGAAAATGCTTATTTCAAAGTTTTCAACTCATTTGCTTTTCAAATGAAAAAACAAAAAAACAAAACAAAACAAAACGTAAAAACAAAAAAAAATTTTAATTGATTGTTTCAAAGCTTTTGATGGCTATTTAAAACTGGAAAATATTTTTAGATGATATAAATTTTTTGATGAAAATGATGATTTACTGATAGCTGGAGGGAGAAGAGATGGATTAATACCTTCCACAAAGGTATTTACATGTAAGCGAATATAACGAACCCAACTTGAATTGGAACTTAGCACTCTGATTTCCAATTCTGAGCTGTTATCCATTACACCACTTGCACATCCATGCTTACAGCACCTGGTATTCCCAAGCAGTCACACATCTGGGTACTGACCAGGCTCAACATTGCTTAACCAGTGATCGGACAAGAACTGGGGTTTCAATGTGATATGATCATAAGCTAATGATAACACTGAGATAGAGTTTGAATATATATATATATATTATGAAATGGACAAAGTCCAACAATTATTTAATACATTTTTTATGTTTATACATTCTTTTTATAGATACAAATATTTAAGTAAATGCTCTGTTTATAATAAACAGTATAAACAACATTTACCGGCCTGAATGTACGAGAAATTTTCATAGAAAATATGCATTCTCTGACAGGAATCGAACCTGTCATATAGCCTGACGGGCCTTAACTGATTGGGCCACAGAGGAGCATTCGATTAGCAAGGTCTCTCTCTCTCTCTCACATATATATATATATATATATATATATAAAAACACTTGTTAAAAAATGAGGGTGTTCTACTCAAATATGGATATCAATCCCTTTCTTCATTATGTGCCATAGAAGTGTCAACGGTATCTTCCTGATGTTAAGTGTCCTTTTTGTCTTCATTTTCTCTAAAACTTGCTAAGTAGGTTATGACTTGTTTTTCTCTATCCCTCTTTGCCTTCAATCTGACCTGTGAGTGTCAAATTTTCCAAGCCTTCTTTCCTCATTATGTGCCCTAGAAATTTCAACAATCTCTTCCTGATGTTAAGTATAAGTGTCCTTTTTGTTTCCATTTTCTCTAAAACTTTGTTGTTTCTCACATGTTCGTTCCATGGTATTCACAGCATCCAGATGTAGAACCACATTGCTATTGTTTCAAGTATCTTCTTCATCTGTGAGGAGACTGTCCAACATTTTCTACCATATAGGAGGACTGATATTGCATAACAGATAAGTTTTAGTAAATTTCTAAGAAAAATCTTTCATTTACCTCAGGTCTCAGATAAAAAGCTTTGTGAAGCAACAAATCAAAAAAAAAAAAAAAAAAAAAAATTCATCATCTCAAAATTTCAAACCAAATAGTTTAAACTCATCGGAAATATGGTCTGAAGCCCCTCCTGTTTGTCTCGGGGTTCTTGATAGGCTCCAGAGGCGGATATGCAATATAATTGGCCCTTATCTGGCATCTTATCTACAGTCACTTTCTCACAGATGCGTCGTTGCCTCTCTCTGTCTGTTTTACAAATACTTTCATGGCAATTGTTCCGAGGAGCTGCATTCGCTGGTTCCCAGACTTCATGAGTTCAAGCGCCCTACGAGGTTGACATCCCGCCCTCACCCCTTCACTGTCGAAACTCTTAAATGTAGCTGTCTCTTCTACTCCAATAGCTTCATGTCTCGCACCTCTCGCCTGTGGAACTCCCTTCCCTATTCCAGTTTCCCTGAGAGCTATAATCTCCAGCTATTCAAATGTAATGTCAATCGACATCTCCAGTTGCCTTGATCTATCCACTACCCTTCTCCTCATCCTTTCTTCTATCACTCCTATCTGATCTTGCTCCAAATTTTCTGTAACCCCTTGCATCCTAGTAGCTTCCTGCCTTGCTTGGGGTGAAACACTTAAAAAAAACAAAAAAAAAACAGGATGAATGGTGGATGGAAACATCTACTTACCCAGTTTCCCTTCAACTGTGAGAAGGTTCTTATCAAACTTGCGTTTTATCTTTCTTTTGGGGCCAGAATGTGTTAATGTTAAAGTGGCAGAAAAAATAAATGTTTGTCTTTTCTTTTTAATTTCTGCACTTTGCCTAGAAAAGAAACAAATTCATATATATTAAAAAGTATACCATTGCTTGTAGGTATTGATAACATGGCAAATTCATTTTCCATGAAGTAATATTCCTAATTTTTAAATCATCTATATGATAGTGGTTTCCACATTGCAAATATGGCCACCATTCGAATCACTTTAGAATCAATCTCATTTGTGAGCAAAATGGATAAAACTTTTCAGGATGGCAAAGGACCTGCACAAATGTTACATACAGGATTGCCTCAAGCTATTGAAGTTACTTGCTGGATACAATGTTATTTTTATGTATAATTTCAGATTTCTGGCTGATTGGCAAAAGTCATGGCATGTTACTAGACCATATGTGGTTTAATGCAAGTCAGCTCTCTGTACATGGCTTCTTTGTAATTCATGTAAATTTGCAATATGAGCTCATTCTGGAAAGTAATTAAACTTGTACTGTGAGGTCCTACTATATATGTCATCCACGTACAAGCCTGTTACACTGTATCACAGCTCATCAGCATGGCTAGACGTCCGATTGTTTCAAGCCAGGATCGAAACTCCACTGATTTGGCATCAGTCAGAGATCTTACCCCTAAGCCATCAGCGCATGGCAGAGAAAGGGAAATTTTTGATGTATTATATATGAAGTGTGTATAATCATCAGTGGTAAAGAGGGCTCAATTTGTAATTGAAGAGTGGTGCATTAATTGCAGTAGCAGCCACTGTTTTGAAATTATCCTTTCTTCAGAGTGCTATAATAGATAAAGAACAAATAAGAAACATTTATCAATCTAATTTGTTTCACTTTTATTAAAACTTCATCAGAGAATGATATATGGAGAAAAAGAAAGAAATTCTGGTATTTTTTACTTTTGAGTTATCTGATCATTGGTCAATCAAGTTTCATGTGTATTCAATTCTTTAAACCAACATTAGATCCAAATTCAAGGAGAGATGATACGTTCATCCAAATCCATATTTGATCCCAACTTTATATATATATATATATATATATATATATATATATATATATATATATATATATATATATATATATATATATATATATATATATATATATATATATATATATATATATATATATATATATATATATATATATATATATATATATATATATATATATATATATATATATATATATATATATATATATATATATATATATATATATATATATATATATATATATATATATATATATATATATATATATATATATATATATATATATATATATATATATATATATATATATATATATATATATATATATATATATATATATATATATATATATATATATATATATACATCTAAATTACACAAAAATGAAAATAACATCTCATTTTAACAGATATATTTACCAAAATTACACAAAAATTATCTTGAAATACTAAAGATTAAATTTATTCAACAAAATTTCCATTGGCTTCAACCACTGCCTCCAGATAACTTCAGAATTTCCTGCAACTCTTCTGGATGGACACCTTGTTTAAGTAGGTGAATGCTGCCATAATACTTGCCTTCAGTTCATCTTTGGTATTACAAGGAGTTTTGTTGGTCTCTCGCTCAACTGTGTTCCACACATAAAATAATCAAGCGGGTTGCAGTCTGGGGAGTTATATGGCCAGATGTAAGGAGGGATGTGGCCATGGAAATTGTCTGAGAGCCATGACTGGGTTCTCCTGCTTGTTTGGTGTGGTGCAAAATCATATTGCCAGCCAACCTCTTGACCCAAAGCAGCACTACCTCCTCAATACACTTGATGAAGGCCTCTGCATCGAGTCTGAGGTCCTGTGGGAAGATGAATGAAGGCGTGGCGTTGCCATCACTAGTGATCACTCCAAACACATTTGTAATCACCATTAGACGCATCCAACTCTTTCTGAATCCTCTGTACTGTCCACAGATGCACTGAAATGTTCATATTGGAGCTTCCGGCATGAATGTCAAGCAGTACAGCATGCAGTTTCCATATTTCTTGCAGTGTGAATTGTGTCATGGTGCTCTTTCTCACAGAGAGTGCCTAATTGACCCTACTATACTGTGTAGTTGACAAAATTAAAAACAACATACATGTACAAAATTAAAAATGTAAAATGGTGATAATTTACCCATTGCACCTAGTATATGTAATTAAAAAAAAAAAAAAAAAAAAACTTACTCATCCAAATGTTCAAAGAGTTTGTGAAGTTCTTCAAAATGTCCTTTTTCTATCATGCGGTCAGCTTCATCTATGACCAGATGCTTAATATGGCTGACTGTAGAAATGTGTGGGTTAGACTGCAGAGGAGAACAACATAATGAAACATAAGTATACAGGTAATGTAAAAAAACTGTTCTGTAATGAAGACAACAACTGCAAATTTTTGTGCAGCAAACACAATTCTATATTTTTTGACTTTAGATTTAAGAGAGTTTTGTTTTTATCTTGAAAACGAAAACACAAATCATCTCATCTCCAAGAGACACCAAACATTTACCAAGTGTAATATTCCTTTCAGGGTTATAATATATTTGTCTCAACAAAGTTATTTGTACTTGGTAGGGAGAATAAAATTTTAGGTAATTTTTGCCTGAAGCTGAAAGATGAAACATTTTTGCTATTCAATGAATTGTTTGAATTAATATCCTCATCTTTGTTGTTTTTGTCATACTGCAACTGAATGTGTGTCTGTGTTTCCAGGATGAGAAGTCAGTTTCAATCAGACTAATATCCTCATCTTCGTTGTTTTTGTCATACTTCAGCTGAATTTTGAATCGAGCCCTTTATTTAATCTACTGGCCATAGCAAGTAATTGTGAGTTCAATCCATGGGCTAGGTAGTTCTGTCTCAGTGGAAACAGAACAAGCATTAACTGAGCAAAACATAAAAAAAAAAAAAACGAAAAAAAAAAACACAAGATATTCATAGAAGTGAACAGCGAAACAAGTGCCATCTTGTACCAAAAAATTAAATAAAGGGCTTAGTTTGAAATTCTCTGAAGATTACAGGGATCAATGGACACTTGAAAATGACCAGAAGGCACTGCAGTCAAAATATGAGAACAACAAAGATGAGGATAATAAACCAAATATAAATAAATTCAGTTGATAGGTTTGGTAACCTTACACAGGACATTAGTATGCATGTAAATAATAGTAACTCCTCATCCCAGAAATTACAACAGTATTATTGTTTTGTTTTCTATATTTTTTGGTTAGAGTTGTCGATACAAGAGAAACCCGGATATAAGAGAGATTTTCTCTGGTCCCAAATTAGAGCCTGTGTTAATGTATATAAATTAGACCAAACCCGGATATAAGAGACGACTTCTTCGGTCCCGACAACTCTCTTATATCCGGGTTACACTGTATCTAACAAATAGGATTTGTGGTTAGTATTCTTGAGTATTTAAGTTGGTGTGGTTCTCACAAACCCAGCAGGAATAAAAACAAAATCTATTAAAAGATGGAGAAGTTCTACTGAAAGTCAACAGCCAGTTAACTAAAGCTTATGACTACCTTTTTTTATGTTGTAAAATATGCCATGCCTTTTCAGGATGTAGGGTAATCATGGCTCTCTATAGATCAGTTATGTGCCATGCGTGATACATGCTTAGGCAATCATGTATCTTTTGATACATGGCTGACGAGGCAGATTTTTTGCTGCAGTAGGTTGCCATTTCTTTCTGCAGTAGACCAGTTGCCATCCAAAGCTATAGAATCCAGTCTGTCCTGTTATTTACCCACAGGTTGGGGGGGAGAGAAGAGGATTCATACCTTTCCCAAGGGTATTAGCACATAAGTGAATGTAATGGATTCAACTGGAATTTGAACTTGGCTCTCTGATTTCTCAATCCGAGCCACTATCCATTGACTTTACGAATATATGACTCATTACATCGGCAGAAACAACCCGTATGAAAGTGTATATTTCAATTTATTATTTTTCACTTTTCAATTCTAATTTGATGAATGTTTTATGAAGTGATTCTCAATTTCACCTTTCATGCAAATGTTGCTTAGTGATTCTGGAAAGATATTTTTAGCCATAAACGAGTAAATCAAAAGTATTTATAGGTATACTAAAAATAAAATAAAAAGAAGACGAAAGGAAAAAGGCAAAAGAGAAAAAAGCTATGAAAGATAAGAAAAAGAAAAAAGAAAGCAAAAAAAATAAAAAAAAATAGAGAGATAGAGAAAAAAAAAAAGTTTATAAAGATAAAATTTCCATAGAAGAAAAATTTTACATTTTCAAATAGTTCCCAGAATCGTCCTGGAGTTGCAACAATTATTTCTGGTTTTCTTTTCAAGAGTCTTTCTTGTTTCTGTTCTGACATGCCACCAACAATGGCAACAATCTGTCAAAAGAAATTAAAAGAAAAATTCATATATATATATATATATATACTTTAAAAATCCAACTTTTGACAAAAAGTAATATTTTCCTAAGAATGGCTTAAATTAATAAAAAAATGCACCCCCCCCAAAAAAAAACCGAAGATGTAGAGCAATTTAAGACAAAATAATTGAAACAACCACCTTTCTGCTACTGTGGGTTCTACCAATCAAGTGTCACAAGCAGTTTGTTGATGCCTTAATGATTTTATATATATATATATATGTATGAAGAAATATAGTCTTAAGGTATGCTATATTTATGGAATAAAGTGCTTGATATCAGAGATAGAGCGTGTGTAAATATAAAAGTGAATATAGAAGTTGACACTTAGAGCCTCTAAGTGTTGACTTCTATGTTCACTTTTATATATATATATATATATATATATATATATATGGACAAAGAAAATTTCATAAGTATTTTTTTTTTATTCAGTTTTTATAATGTTCTTACAGTTTTTTTTTTTGTGAAGATTAAGAGAGTGTATAAACTGCCCGTAATGATTATTGTTTCAAGCACTTTTGGCCAATTCATTAGCCATTTTCAAGGAATATGTGTATGTCCTAAGCTGTGTTATTTAGAAGTAGTTTTAATTCTAAGCTACACTAGTAATAGTAGTAATTCCATTTTGGGGTGCCTTTTGAACACTAATTTATATAAATGCTTTTAGAATGACACTTATTTACAAAACTTTTTCTCATGGGAGAAGGAAGTACGAGTGTTTCCTTATTGAACTAAGATCACTTAAGTGGTTTGTCAGTCTGACTTTATGATGTCATTAAGTATATATATATATATATATATATATATATATATATATATATATATATATATATATATATATATATATATATATGCATAAGTTCACAAAGATTATTTTCTAAGTTCATTTTACACAAGCAAAAAGAATAGAAATAGAGAAAGAGCTATCAGAAATTTATTATTTTAAGATCATGGGCAGCATTATGTTTTCAAAATAAATTAGAAATGGAACATGTACATACTATACATATATTTGGGGGGGGGGGATATCACCTGAAATTGAATGGAAAATAAAATTAAAAAAAAGCTTCTTTTTGCCTGTAGATGTAGCATGAATAGGTGTAGATTAAATACTGAAGAAAACCTAACAATATCACACATCATGCATATATACACACCCTCTACAGAAACACACAAAATAATAATAATAATAATAAAAGATTAGTTCTTACCTTTATATCAGTAAACTGGGCAGCCTTCAAAAGATGGTTCTTGACTTGAATGGCTAACTCACGAGTTGGGGCCAATATTAAAGCTTTCAATCCATCAGTTGTTGGCTTTTTGACTTGTTTAGGCATCACAGCTTGCATTTCACTTTCACTGATTTCATCCTCAAGAATTTCTTTTTCGGTCACTTCTTCATTGTGATCATCATCAAAGCCTTCTTCCGTTCTTTCAGTACCCTCTTTTGTACCACCATCGTGTTCTGAGAATTTCTGGGCTTCCTTTTCCTGTAGAATGTGATGAATAATTGGAATGCCAAAGGCCAATGTCTTCCCACTTCCCTAAAAGGTTAAGAAAAACAGTTTTATTGAACACATGCATTGTACTCAGAAGAAATTAAAAGCAAAGTTTAACCTTCTTATCCACAAAAAAAAAAAAAAAAAAAGAAAAGAAAAAAAAGAAAAAAAGAAAAAAAAAAGCAGCCTGTCAAAAAGACAGTTTTTCTATTGATATTGCTATTATTGTACATTCTGTTGACAATGTTTGTTTTAAAAAGCTGTTTAGAATTTTAATGGTAACAAAAATGTTAAACATTATTTAGGTGCTAGATTGTTTATTTACAGGAATGATTTTATATTATTTACATTAAAAGATAATAAAAATATGTGAACACTATAATGAAATATTTATTAGTTACTATTTTTATAAAAAAAAAAAACAAATATGTAAACATCATTTTATTAAAAATTTTCAAACCAACTACAAAGCAATATTTATCATTTTATAAACAAAAAACTACAAAATCAATTTGTTATGCATAAATTTATAAGTTTTATGACTGTAAGTGGTGAGTAAGAACTGAGATGGAAATATCATCACCCAGCAAAAACACTTAAGAGATAAAAAGGATCTCAAATCAAATAGTAAGGGTAATAATATTGATTTATTCAAACTGTAACAGAAGACATGAAAAGAAGCATGAAACAGCCTGTTGTCTTGGAGTGTTGACTTCAATGTTCACTATATATATATATATATATATATATATATATATATATATATATAAAAGATAAAACACACACATTATATAATATAAAAATAAGATTAAATATATATCTAAATATAGAAATAAGATTAAATGAAATTCTACACAGTTATGAGGTTTTAGTTGCATACAGTAGCAAAGGCTTTTTAAGATAATGTGTGTGTATTAACTAAACCTACAGTTGCCGCCGCTCCAATAATGTCTTGTTTGTACAAAATGGCAGGAGGGAGGCACTGCTTTTGGATGGGGGTTGGTGTGGAGAAATGTTGTTCTGCAAGGGCACGTAAAACAGGCTCAGGAACAGAGAGAACATTCCAGTCACTCATGTCTGAAAAGGAAAACCAAAATTAGATTTTCAGCTAAAGAGAAACAAAGTTATTAAGATTCTGAAAGGGTTGATTAATTTCTTTCTTTTATTTTTTTTGTTGCGTTTCATTTTTATTGTTACTTTCCTCCCCGCACTACAAATCATTTCTATACTTGATTTTATGCTCTATGCATGTTTCAGAGTCTACATCAGCAGTTCCCAACATTTTTTTTTGGTCATGCCTAAGCATCTCTAAAATCCTGATGCACCCCCCCCACTCCCAGTGACATATAATTCTTATTATTCAAAAAAATGAATTCCTAGTCATGTAGGGCAAGCCAAAAGGCCATTTACTTTGTCTAAACAAGCTTCCAAAGAACATGGCATCCATGAAAGAGAAAAATAAAAGAATGAAAGGACAATTGAAGTATAATAATTAATAACTCATTCTTGAATTACCCTCCTTAAAAAATAGTTGTCTCCCTGGGAACCACTGGTCTACATTCTCGAAAAGGTCCATAGCTAAAGTGGGGACAAGCTCCTACTGTCTATAAAATGTTTCCATGGCTTGTGTCTCAAATAGTCTCTGACAACTCCTAGCTGGAGAATGGGTGAAGACGAGCAACTGGCACCTCATAACCAGCTGCTTCAGGAAGAAAAGGAAGGAAAACCCTGGTTTTAAACCTCTGCTACCTTGTGGTCATATCCAAACACGGAAAAGTAACCCCAGAAAGAAAACCCAGAGTGGAGCCCTGAATGAACACTGACAATTTTCCAGCAACTCCTGCAGACAAGCCATTCCCCAATTGTAATGCCCTGTATTCCTTTGGATCTTGTCGGTATGACTGAAAGGATAAAATTTTGTCCAGACAGAGCATTACCTTTATGCCTACCACTACTACATTCTTCAATTGTACTTCACTTAAAAAAACAAAAAACTTTTCAATGTAAGAGATTTACTTTCAATTGGCTAAAAAACTATAGAGAAACTAAATATACATTATAAGAAATGATTTTAAAAAAGAGAAAAGAAAAAATTCAGTGAGAGAATACAGAAAATACAGTATAAATATTTTAATTTTCATAGATTTAAATGCCTTAAAAATTTAAATTTTAGGCCTCAAGATCTTGCAATATTTTCAGCAAAATTATTTCAGCCATTTAAAATATAAATGTTTATTATTGGAGTTATTTTCACCCTTTGTATTAAAGATTGTTTGATGGACAAAGTTTTTGAAAATACACACATATATTAGTAAATAAACAAATTTAAAAACAAACACAAAAAATAAAAAATACAGCACAAATTGATGCAAAAGATGCAATACTTTAAAAAACAGACATGTGAAGATGCTATATTTAAAGAATGAAAAAAAAAACACAGCACAAAAAGCCCTCTTAGATAATGGCTCATAGAAGCTGAAAGTACAAAAAATATTAGACAATTCCAATAGGTATTATAGTGGAACACACCTATTCTATAGTTAATAGACTCTCCCACCTATAATAAGTAGGAGTAGTAAGAGTAACGGGCGAGTCGCTAAGTGGGTCAGGCAGTCAGTCGATGCCGGATGACTGTTAGTCAGATACTAAAGAATCAGCGACCACAACTAGATTTCTCTGCGTCATTACCTATTATATCAAGTTCCTAACGTTTTGTACGTCGAACCCATTTTAGGACCGACTTAGTACAAATACAAGCCTCCACTGTGAAACCACTCCATAACAATAGGAGACTGTGTAGCACAAACTAAGCTAAGCAATGCCTCTAACACATAAAATAGGTTGTATGCTACTACATGTCTACACTGTTTTATAATGCAAATGCTAAGAATGCACATTTTACAGTGTCTTGAGAACTAATGTATATGTTGATAGTAGGTCATATAAGTTGCCTAAAGACATAGGTAGATCCATAGCAGTGGAAGTGTTAATTGTAATTTATAGGATTCATTTTATTTTATAAATTTGAAATTATAAAACTTAAAATGATAAAACATTTTTTTTTCAAGAAATGAAAATGGATTGTGCCCCAAGAAATGTAAACTATGAGGAGTTGCTGTGACTCACTCTCTAAACAAAAAAAAAAAAAAAAATATCACTAACTTTTCAGCACCTTTTGCATTTAGTTCAGAAAAATTTCACATTACGTATAAGCTTCATTTGCACAATTTAAATTCAGCAAACTGAACTACAATGAGGTGCTGCAAAGCCTTTCTGTGTAACAAACTTATTAGAAAACATTATTTCAATGACTAAATATTGGAATATTGATTTTGGGAGGTGGACTCAGCAGTGAAATTTTCAGCACAATGTCTAAATAATCACATTAGAATCATTTTGATATGCATTTTCACAAGAAAAAAAAAATTCAATAAAGTTAAGGTGAAAAGCAACATTTATTTTCTACTAGCCTAGAAGGTGCCCTTTTGGCGGACTTTAGGTTAGCTCTTGCTGTGGCTTTTGAGCCTTCGATGTCCTATGTACATAAAAGTTATGACATTAGGGAACCCGAACTATGTAATATTTTGAATACATTACAGTACGCATGCTAGAAAAAGAAAACAAAAAAAAACATATGAGCAACATATCATGCCTCATTTAAGTTTTAATTAATTTTAATTACTGCTTAATTAGATGTTATTAATTGCAATGAAAGCAAAGTTAAAGTTAAACCTTTAATAAAGAATTGTTTTTTAAACCTTTCACTGTTTGATATTTAAATTTAACATTAAATGAATTATTTAATTTTTTAATTGTGTGTAACTACAGTGGTTACTATGTGTTACTTCATGATTCGCTGAGATTGAAAAACAGACAGATGCTGGACACACATACACTGCACTTTTACATAGAAGCTGAGCAAAACTTGAACACCTACCGGGCAAAGGCTTTTTATCTACAATCTGTTTATTTTCTTTGACTTTTTCAGGTTCTGTCTTAGGAGTTTGTTCTGTAAGAAGAAGAGAAAACATACATTAAGCAATAAGTAAAATATGATGTTAATTTTAAATGAAATCCTGTTAATATGACAAAATTACAATATGTAGAAATTATATAAAAAAAGATATGTTTGGCTTATCTAGTTAACAATTCTATATGACATGTTCCTTCAAGACATGTGTGTTCATGGCTCTACACAACTTCCTGCCTTTTGTAGCCTTTAGTAAAACTTGTCATTTTGCTATATCCTTTGTCTGTCAATCATTTACACAAGATCATTAGGTAGGTTATGTGCAGCTTTCTTCTGTCCCTCTTGCTTTCAATGCCCTGTGACTGTCAAATTTTCCAAGCCCTTTCTCTTCATGATGCACCCTAGAAATTTCATCTCTTTCTGATTCTCAATACACATGTCCTTTTTGTTCCTGTTTTCTCCAAGACTTTGTCATTGCTCACACATTCAGGCCATTGTATTCCCAGCATACAACAGCTGATAATTACTTACACTCAAACTATTATCCTCATCTTTGCTGTTATTATCACAATGTTTCAGCCACTGTGTCTTCTGGTCATCATCAAACGCTTGTCGATCCAGGTAACCTTTAGAGAATTTCAAATTGTACCCTTTATTTAATCTACAGGAAGTTCTCGTTTTGCTGTCCATGTCTAGAGATGTCTTGTCTTGTTTCGTACTACTTGGTCATTACTTACCCTGTTTCAAATTAGACTAAGTCTACATAGTGGAAATAGTCTGTGTCTACATTTAGTATTTTTCTTCCTATAAAGTATATACTTTATTTATAAAATAATTTTATTTATAGTAAGACATAACTTACACAGGAATAATAGGATGTAAATATTTTTATCATTTTTCGTTTTTATAACCAATGTTTTGGGAAATGTGAACTGTGGCCTTCAGGTGTTTGCCAATCCAGGTAATAAGTAATAAATTTAACTTATTACCCAGATTAACAGACACTTGATAAATGCTAGACAGTACAATGGCTGAAATGTTATAAATCCAGGTGTAAATAAGAAAAAGTTTTATAAATCCAGGTGTAAATAAGAAATGTTTTATAAATCCAAGTGTAAATAAAAGTTTTATAAATCCAAGTGCAAATAACAAAAAACAAAGCCAGAAATTTAAGGAAGAAAAAAAAAACAACTATGTAAATAATTCGTAACATTTTAAAAATGAGGATCTACTTTTCATGCAAATTTTATTTTATTGAAAAAAAGAAAAAGTCTACTGTACTAAGTAATTTAAATGAAAGGGAGATAATAATATTTGGCTTGGCTACTGTTTACTGGGCGCATGATCTCATAGATAGACAATGACTTGAATAAAACAGTTAACTAAATAGAATAAGGCTGACTAAAATATTGATGCAATCTCATCACAATATTTTAACAAGTGCACCTCAGGCTTCACTAAACAATCAGATCACCATAATTAAACTTTTGTTACTATTTTATCTACAATTAATTCTAATTAGGTTCACTATAATTGCTTGGTTTGATGGAATTGTTTTCTACAGCTCATTAACCCTTTGCAGGTTATTTAAAGCCAGAAAATATTTTTAGATTGTAAGAATTTGTGGGGGGGGGGAGATAATAATGATTTAGTGATACAAAACTTACTAATTAAGCCATAACCAGGAAGAGAAGAGGTGGAGTCATACTTTTCCCAAGTTTATTTGCACATAAGGGAATGAGTCCAACAGGAATTGGAACTCAGCTCTCTGATTAACAATTCTGAGCCATTATCCATTTTACCATTCACACATCCCAGCTTACAGCACCTGGTATTCCCAAACGGCCACCCATCTATATATTGACCAAAGTCAACATTGCTTAACTTTGGTGATTGTATGAGAACTGGTGTTTCAATGTGATATGGCCATAAGCTTATTGAATGCAGGTGTAGCACAATAATAGGTTATCTTATTTAATTTATTAGTTATTAAGTTTTCTTTGAATTCATTCTTCATCGCCATAATTATCAGTAATGTACAAGTGTTTATCAGTTCTATTTAGTCAACTGCTTTAATAAAGTTGTCTTCCACCAGGATCATGGGCTCCATAAACAGTAGTCAAGCTTAACATTTTTATTATCTTCTTTTACGTGCCATATCAGTTCTCCACAACTTCCTGTCTTTTGATGCTTTAAGTAACTTTTGTCTAGTCTAAGAAGAATAACTCAGAACACAAAATTGTATATATCCCTCATGCAGAACTTACAATACAGTCATCAACAAGATCACAGACTTCATAAGGATTCTTGTTTGAGTTGATATATTATTATTATTATTATATTCAACCTGAATTTTGTTGATGATTTCAAAAAACAAAAAATAAAATACTCACGAAATTTCTTTTTTGCCTTTTTCTTTTTCTTTTTTGGTGGAGCTTCAAGCACAGAACTGTTGTCACCCTCATCTTTAGATTTTCTTTTTGATGTCTGAAAAATTTTAAAATTCATTTAGAATAATATTTTTTTTTAATTGTTTTACTGCAAGCAAGGCAATACAGCCCTTAAGATGCAAGTGATGATTGAGTGTGAAATTATAGGAGAAAAGGAAAACTGTTAAAGAGAGGGAACAATAAAAGAAAAGAAATTAAGAAGATAGAAGATAATTGATATCACATTTAAATTTTTGAAGATCAAAGTTGAGTGGAAAGCAAGATGCTGAAAGAGACTTCCACAAGCGAGAAGTGCAATAAAAGAAACCGTTAGCATAGAACTTAGGGTTACATCTAGCCAGTGGTGGGATTCAAAAAATTTAAGAATGGCTTCTCTCAACAACAGATCTCAATAGCAAGGGGTTCCCTCATTTTTCCATAGTCTATACTTTACAAGATATAATTTAGGAATAGAGCAAATTTTTCTAGCACTTATTCAAAAATACCAAAATTAATTTGTATTACATTGCACGTTATCATTTTGAAAGGAAAAGAATTTTAAAAAAATGCTTTAAAATCTTTTATTCATGATCTTTCATTTTTAAAATTTCCAAATCGCCACTTGATTGTCATCAGTCTTCAGCTTTTTTTTGCCTCACTCTGTTGTCATCAGCACTGTGATTTTTTTTTCTAAGCCATGTTTTAACAAAAGGAGTGGCTTCCCATAAATCTAAAGGAAGAACAATAAGATTGTCATAAAGTTTGCTGCATTTTTCACTGTAAGGCAGCTTCTTTTATTATATCATATAATATTAATTCCTGAAAAACCTCTTTCTGCCTTGGAAAAACTGATAGCAATTGTATTGATAATAGTTTTCGCTTTTTGTACACTTTGAAGAATTACAGGATTACGAAAGTTTTTCAGGTTATTTTCCACATAGTCACAAAGATCATTAGTGGGAATGTTGTGATGAAAAATTTTACTGAAGCCATTCAGTTTTTCTTCTGCAACTTTCAAGAGAATAACTATTTCTGGAATATTCCAAGTATCTGGCTATCAAGTTCAGCAGTTCATGAAATTTGTATTAACATTTATTCGATCACCTGAATTTATATCTCCAGCTGATTATGTAACTACTATTTGTAGACAGTCTAAAATTATCAGTTTGTTTGAGTTGCAACTAGCAACGGATTTGCTGAGCTCATAAAATTCACACAAACCTGTGTGAACCCGTTGAATCCCAGCACTGCATCTAGACATTTCAATTAAAATGAGATATTGCCACCAATATAGTTCTGCACTTAAATTGATAAAGTTGAGGTAACAAAGAGGAAAGTTCATCAGAACATTTATAGAAAAACAAACAGGGAGGCTATGTTACAACGGATGGAAAATGACTGAATCTGAGATGTCAGTTCAAGACTGATAACATTGCAGATTCTTCTTTGGATTTTATGAAGAATTTCTAAATGCATAGCAGAATCACCAGACCAGATGTGACAGCAATATTCAATGCATGGATAAATGATCAACTTATAAGTTTATAAATGTCTAAGTGTAAGATATATTCTGTTGGGAGAAAAAAAAATATTTATCTACAGATATAGTGATTTTCTAAGTGTAGCTTAGATGTGGCACAAAGCCAAAAGCAGGAAGCACACAGTGAGGATCAAACTCACTACTCAGTCGTAATTGTTCTAGTAAAACAATCTTGCTAATATATATATATATTGCTTAGTTTGCAAACACTTAATAATAGATAATGTATTTTCTGTACCCAACACCAATATCAAGATACACCCACCTCGCTTCACCTCACCTGTGATAGCCATAACATAATCTACTATTTATTCTGCACAATATGCCCCAATAGTGGATATATTGGTGAAACTGGAAATAATTTTAGATTTCGCTTCAACAATCATAAAAAAAACCATACGTCAAAACAATCCTTATTCCCACATAGCTGAACACTTTAATCAATCAGGACACATTAGAAAACTGTAAATGTTTATTGATAGATTCTGATTTCAGTTCCACATACACATGCAGAAAAAAAAAGAAGAAAAATACTGGATTTTAAAATTAAAAACATATAAACTAGGGTTAAATAAAGACTTGGGTATTTTAAATCTTTATAAATATTTCAATAGTTAAACATTTTTTTTAGATATCGTTAAAAACTTTTTTTAAACAACATCTAAAATATTATTACAGTTAGATTTACATGAAAAATATTTGAACACAGTGGCATTCCATATCACGTGACGTCCGCATCTCACAACGGACACTACTTGTAAACAAACCTCTAAAAACAGTTATTTCGGAAGGAAGATCGAGGTCGATCTGAAATATCAAAACTACATATAAAAAAATATAAATATTTTCATAAAAAAAAACATTATTATTTTTTAATTTGCATCTTTTTAGTTGTTTTATTTATATATATATATATATATATATATATATATATTAGGATCAATATATGGATCAGAAACCAACAATGATAGGACAAGGAAAAAATATGAAATGTTTATAAATTTAACATGTTTTGCTTTTATTTAAGCTTCATCAGAAATTAAATATGGATGAGAAAAGATAATTCTGGTATTTTTTATTTTTGTGTTGTTGGTTTTTCATTCCTTAATCTGAACTCATGGTCACCTAAGTTAAGCAAGGTCAAGTATGGCCAGTACCTAAATGGGTGATCACGTGGGAATACCAGGTGCTGTAAGCTTGGATGATATAATGGATAATGGCTCAGAACAAGATATCAGAGAGTCGAGTTAGAATTCCAGTTGAGTTTGTTACATTCACATGAATGAATTCACTTCTTCCCCCACCTATGAGTTAAATAACAGGACAGCCTGGATCCTACAGCCTTGTTTCCAGTTGAAGTTCAATACCCACAGGAAAGCAGTACATAACCTACCTAATGAGCATGCATAAATGGTTGACATAAACATTAAAAAGGGTTGACAGAGAGTGTAAAAAAATAACATTTATTAAGAAGAGTGACAAAGGACAGGAGCAATGGTCACCAACATCTTAAAAGAAGCCTAGCACATAGGAATAAAAAACAGCCTCCTATTTTTTTACCAATGCAATTTTGCATTGAATATTGCATGAATTTTCTTGTAAGTACTTTTTTGGTGATTTGATAAATATAACTAGTATATTTCTTGTTTAATTCCGCAGAGGAATGGCTGAGCGAATAGAAATGGTTTTATTGTTTGAATCGTTGAAGGATAAAAGAAGCTGTGCAAATAAAATCGTTTTACATTGGAAAAATAATTTTCTTTTTAAAAGAGAAAGAAACACAAAAAAAAAAAAACCCAGAAAAATCATTAAACAATCTTTAACAATTTTACCTTATTTTCGAGGTTATTTTAGAATTATGACCGATTTATTTTAGCCTTTTTAAAACTAAAACTAAAAGTAAAGTAAACTAAACAGAAGTTTAATTTTCATTCTTCTGAGAAGGATACAAAAAAAACGTGACTTTTTCTAAATTAAACAGTCATTTTTCAGTGATTACTATATACACACTAAAATTGTCAAGCAATTCTCGAATATCATTTTAGTATAAAGATATTCTGAATGTATAATCATCAAATAGCATTTTTTTTATCGAAGCTAATATTTTCGTTTGGTTAGAGAGAAAACCCACGTGTTCACCTGTAAACTAAAAAATTACTCGTGGAAAAAAAAAAAATTAAAAACTATCTTACAGAAGAGACTTTAAGCTTTCCTCCCACGATGTCATAGTCCTGCAACTCCTCGATACATACAAGTCCCTGAAATTTTTCATCAGCATACAAATTAGGATCAATTTCAATAGATTTCCAGTCGGCCTTCGCTTTTAAATGAGCACCCTTCTTCACCATGTTGGCGACTGAATATAAAAAACAGGAATTGCCGGTGTCAAATAAACGAAACTAAAAGGTGTTTCACAAATTTTAACGAACGTAGTATATTAATTTTTATTTAATTTCTGAGGACGTTTTCAACTTTCAAGTATATTGATAAAATTAATTAAATTAAGTATACCAAAGGCAATTTTGATAATTTTGAAAAAATTGTTTTTAACGAGGTCGATAACTTCTTCACAATAATTTCTACTGTTGCTTAGTTAAATTCTTAAAAATAATAAAAATAATTTAAAAAAAAAACAGAGAGATTTTGTTGATCTTTTTAATTTAATTTTTTTACTTGTTTTCGCATGTCACAAGAAGAAACATTATCACCTTTCTAGTTTTGTTTTTTTTAATTATAAATCAAAATTCAAAAGTTTAAAACTTTGTTCTCGTTTGTTCAGACAATAAAAAAGTCATTTTATTTTCAGGAAAAAAAGATATGATTAATTCTAAATATTTTGTATTCTATTACCTGGCCATCTCAACATAGTTTTTTTTTTTTTTGGCAGACGGTCACAACTGTGTAGCACACACTGAAGATTTTTATTTTTAATAATATCAAATTAAAAAACAACGTAGGAACAGAATTAATTAGCGATTTATTTAATGTTTAAGTAGGATCAGTTTTAAAAATATATTCTTTATTCTATGACTTTCATTTCTTTCGAAAATCTTTCATTTTTGAGAAAATTTAAGTTTTAAAGTTTATTCAAATACTTCCACGCTGAACCATGATCTGTTTAACAGCGGATGATCAATGTATGTAAGTAAATTTAATAAACTGATTTGTTTCAGTTTTTGACAAGGGACATTTAAATCTATCACCGCCCACAACAAACTTTGGACGTAAAAAAAAAAATTCTACGTTTCAAATCATAAGGTAGGGATTTTATTAACGTAAAATTTTCAGTTAATGCATTCTTTTAAATACACAGGTATAAATATTGTCATTTCATTTAACTCTTTATATATATATAATTTTTAAAATGGCCAACAGATAAATAAAACTTAAGTTCTCAGACTTTCACTGAACCTTCTGCATTTATTTTGCTTTGGAAAATAATTTTATTCATTTGTATTTTTAAAGTAAAGTTCTGTATATTTCTGAGTCGATTGTGTGATACATTCAGGTAATTTTCTTTCTAAATTCAACATTGTACAATAATTATTTTGTTACTTTGTGAAATGTGCATCCCACCCGACAATCCATCAAACATAAAAATTATAAGCAATACAATAAAAAATAATTTTAAAAATATTGTAAGTTAATTTAATCATTTCTTTTTATTTTATTTTTTTACATCAACTTTAATGTCCAGCATGATGTAACAAAAATGGGATAAACGGAAGTGTCTTTTAGTTTTATTCTTTTAAAAAACTAAACAGACACCTCAAAGTTAAGTGTCCTCGTGTCATAGGAGCAGAAAACAGAATTAATAATTTTTAAATGGGTGTCATTTTATCCTGTGAATTGTTGTACGAAAATGCATAAAAAGGCCATTTATGGGGGGGGAGACATGAATGTTTTCGATAGTTCAAGCAAGCCAATCGTCACTGAACCGGCACTCTATTTTTGTTTGAGAAGCGGATGATCAGACAAATTCAAATTTTATACAGTTACCATAAGTCAGAAAAGTAATAATAAATACAGATAAACTTACCTGATGTAAGTGAGGGTTAGTTTGTCAAATTCTATTTTTATTTATCTTACTTTTTTCTCGAAGGTGCGAGCGCACACAATAAAAATGCCGGACCGGCATGGTGATTGGTGATAGACTTGTACAGTCACTCAAACAAAGATCTTCATGTTTTAGTTTTATCTTTGATAATAAATGATCGTTACTTAGATATATCATAAAACAATTCTTGATAAACAATGACGTCTATTTCTTTTTTTTATTTATTTCAGAATATATTTTCATTTTAAACTTTTGGTTGTGAGCCAAATTGTGAGTCAACAATATTGTTTCACGTAATGAAGTAGTAGTAATTTAAACTTTTTCACTCAGGAACTGGGATCATTTCCAACATCATAGACAATTTTATTTAGGCTATAGATATTTACTTAGCCTCTTCCAGGATGTGACACAAGGTCTTTTTTTTACGTGTGGTCAACATACGCGTGCATGGACCAAGGACAAAAGTAAAACCAAGTTGCCCAGTCCCTGCAAATTCTGTTATGCTGGCGACCTCACCTCTTTGTGCAATGAGAAAAGTTCTGCCGCAGAGTTGGAATCCCCAGGATCAGGCACCTTAAGGATAGAACAGATGCTACACTTTTTAATCCCAGTCAATTTCTGATTAGTTTTTAGTTTCGTTAATAAAGAAAAATAAAAAAAAATATAGAAGTTGTACAATAGGCACCTTAACCAAAATAATTACTTTTTAAAATTTTTTTTTTAAATTTTTTTTTCATATTAAGTATACAAGATCACGAATGTTTAAAAAATATTAGACTGGTTCACATGTAAAAAAACAAAACAAAAAAGGGAACATTTTTGTGAGGAATTAGCATTCATTAGAAATTCCTCAAGCCACAAAATTTGTCAAAGTTGAAAGATATAGATTTATTTATTTATTTATTTTTTGGTCAGTTTAGAAGGGTGGGGGTTTTGTGTATAATATCGATGCAATGTAAAATCAATCCCTAACATTTTACAGAGTTATTAGGCACCTATGAACAGTTTACCCAATACTGTCAAAAATGGCAACTGAAATTGATATTTTGTCAAGTTCTTACTATTATGAGAAGGTTTAAGCATGCCTACAGGGTGTTCCAAAAGTCACATGACAATTGCAAAAAACATACACTTGTGAAACAACCATCAGGGAAAATTTGTATGATATTATCTTTCATAATTCGATCAATAAAATATTTTATTATCTGTCACATATGGGAACATGATATCATTTGGTAAATAAATATAAAATTTACAAGGTTATCAATGGTAATGTGACTTTTGGAATACTCTGTATATACAGTGTAACCTGGATATAAGAGAGTTGTCGGCACCGGAGAAGAAGTCTCTTATATCCGAGTTTCTCTTATATCCGGGTTTGGTCTATTTTATATACATTAACACAGGCTCTAATTTGGGACCAGAGAAATTCTCTCTTATATCCGGGTTTCTCTTATATCCGGGTTTGGTCTATTTTATATACATTAACACAGGCTCTAATTTGGGACCAGAGAAAATCTCTCTTATATCCGGGTTTCTCTTATATCCGGGTTACACTGTATCTTTGATTCTTAATTTTGAATTCTCATTGGTTTAAGTTGACTAGCATTAATGTCATGTTTTTTCTAAATTTAGCAATCATTGTTTTTTTTTACAAATTCTATTTCTTTATTATTTATGAATTGACCTGACTTCTTGGGAATGCTAGTGGTGTGCTTTCACATTACTTCTGTTGCTCTACAGTTTTGAAATTCAGAATAGTCCTTCTAGTTTGGGTGCCACTCAAGGCAAGAAAACCCAGTCTACCTTATTAAGAACATTTAATTTTCTACTGCAGATAAATTCAGTTTTAAAAGGCAGATTTCCTGGGAGATTTTTATTTATTTATTTATTTATGCTAATGTTGACCCAATACCAGGTCCAAGAGCCATTCAGGGTAGAAGCTTACTGGGTGCAATTACACTTTTGAGCCCTCCATGACAGTCAACCACACAATGTTTTTTGTCTTCAGTTCTTTTTTAATTTAAAAAAACAAATATAAATAGATTGCCCTTTTTTCTTAATATTTGTTTCATAATTTATGGATTTTAATTTTAAATAATACATTTTATTATCTTTCTGACTTTTATTTTAGAAACTTTTGACAGCAGAAACATTTACAGGAGCATTTTAAAATCATTGCTAGTGTTTGTATGTTAAATTTAATTATTAGTAATTGTAACAGTTCAACTGTTATTTTAAATTAATTTTATGAAGTTAAACTTTTAAAAAAATTTTTTAAAAACAAGTTTCTTTTCAATTTACCAATTTATCTAGTTGTTTTACCTTTATAGGGATGAAAGTGTAATAGTGTCGCTTACTGAATAAAGTAAACATAAGAGGAGAAAGTCAAGATTATGAGATTATGGAGGATAGGTAACAACTGACACTAGACTCTGAAGAGGTTAGATTGTAGTATTTATAGAAGCATCTACATGGGAGTCTGTACCAAAAAGTAGCAGTTCTTGGGAAGAAGCTGTCTGAATGGAATGTCCTTCAGAATAGGTAGGAAATGAGGATGATTCAACCCCGTGGATGTAGAATGGTGGGTTTTGCTTTTAAAGGGCTGAACTGGTGGTACTTAAGAATGGAGCCCATCTGAAAATTTGCCATAGCATTAGTGACAATTGCATTGAAGGGAAAGGGCTGCAGACTGGAAAATAAGTCCAGTTAGTACTACATAGTCCTATTATATCCGCAAGCTCAACAAAACATGGAAGATGGCTGAAACCCATTCTTATTGATGATAATGTTTAATCTGTAAATTAGGAACAATAAGATATATTTTTAAAAATTAATTCCATGTCCCTTCAAGGACATAGGTGATCATGTTTCTCCACAGATTCCTTTTCTTTATTATCTGTTTATTATTTACTTTATTGTCTCTGAATTGCTATGACATCTTGGGAAACACAGTGAGTTCATTTTTTTAATCATTGCAAGGCAAAAGTAAAAAGCACTATGCCTGAATAATTGATGGAAACTTTAAAGTAATTGCTACAATTTATGACTAATCTCTAATCAATGTACCACTTATATACCATATCTAATTATTGAAGACAACGACCGAGTGACATGGTTTTTAGTGTTACTTTCATAAACTGTCATTACAGATGCAAAAGCTTAAGATTTAAAATGACCCGATCATCCTTCAAAGCCAAAAGAATGTGCACGCAGTTTGTTAAAGTTTATTTTCATGAGTTATTTCCCTTTATCTGTTATTAATTTGTTGAAGATTACTCCAACTGTTAG